ATTCAGAGGCAATTGTTGGCAATAAAGATATAATTAGAGCCGTAATAAGTCTCACATATCCGTGACATTTTCAGGTCATAGCCTAAACAAGTATACGTACACACAATATTCAAATGCATGTTCGGTTTATATGTATATAAATTTTCATTTTTCATGCACAGGCTGCGATTTTCTTTGAACAACGCAGAAACCGATTCATTTTGCATCAGCTGGTGTTAGTGATTACACCTCATTTGCATTGTACGTACATATAATCGATTTTTATCTGCATTTTAGTTCAACATACAATGCAGAGCTTTGTGTTTAAATCAAGCCAAAAAAAAAACAGATTTTTGGCAGCTAGAAAATAGTGTGGTGGAAACAACATTGCAACAGAGAATTTTATAGCATTAATAAAGTGTAGCAGGAAGTTTTTCTGTCTCTATTTCTGGATGATAATAATTGAAAGTAAAAGGCAAAAGCATCGCTGCTTAAAACAGCACGTCGCTTGACTTCATTTAACAAACTCTTATACGCTTCATCTAGTAATTGCATGGAACTAAACGCGCAAACAAACTTAACATTCTCCGGAGTTTGCCTGATGCTGACGTCGTACAAAGTCCAAAACAACATGAACATTTTATTCTTTTTATTTGATCAAAACATGTTGCTAGCGTTGCGTTGAAACATCCAAAGTGCAGAGCAGAAAAAAAAGTCCACCAAAGTAAACATGGTCACGAACTTTGAACAAGAAAATGAGAAAAAAATACGACTTGACTAATTAAAAAGTCTCATCAGCATGAATCTCCAATAAAAATGTGTATTCGAAGTTTTCTATTTTACTTACACAAGTTTCTCTATCTCTTACTACTTTGTGATAGTATTTTTGCTTGGGTGTGAACCATATTCAAACGAACATTTTTCTTTGATGCACAACGAAGAAAAAAGCACGCACACATACACAACTGAAACGGATATTAAAGCAATTTGTGTAATAAACATGTTGTGTTTTATTTTCGTTTCGTATTCTTTTTTCTATCCCACTGCCATTGATTTTCGGCTCTCGGTTGGCCATTTCGAATGCTGGTGCTTATTACAATACCACCAACCCAAATGCGGTGTAATAAATATGAAAATCCATTAAGATGGCTGCCGCTTTTTTTTTCTCTTTTCTTTAACATGCACCCAAACACGGCGATAATATCCAAATGACATCGACTTAAAACTCGGTGTTAGTGTTGAAAAGTGGAAATGAATCGCTTTCGATTCCGCCTTAAATGCACTCAACGATGTTGCTCCGTGTTAATTTTTCTACTTTTTTCCTTCTTCTTCTTCTTCTGCTTCTGCTTCGTTCGCCCCACTCTCTCGCTCCTGTTCTTGCTTCGACGAGACGAAAGTCTTGGGAAAAACCTTAAAAGTTTCATTGCAGATTCATTTTTTATGTATACCGATGTGAAACATATCTTCGGCAAGTTTTTTGCAATTTTTGCCCAGGAATAAAAGCGAGAGAGCGAGAGAGAGAGAGAGAGAGACAGAGAGAAAGAGAGAGAGAGAGAGAAAATGGACAAGAAGAACCACAGTAGGAGAAGAAAAATGCGGAACATATGAGAACGAGAGGAATGGAGTGAAAACTTCAAAGATCGTCGTGGCGGTAGTCGCCACAGGAAATAGAAAAGAATTCCAACCGACAACAAAAATGGCGTTCAACTTTTGCAATTAGTGGAAACATTTTTGGTGCATACTTAAATTGAGCCAACGACCAACCGACCAGCTCGAACGGAGCTAAACCAGTGCTAAAAATCCATCGTTGCAATATTCAAGTCTTTTAAAATTCATGGTTGGATCTATGGTTGTTTTGTTGAATTCACCGCACACATTTTTCCCCGTTGTTGTTGCACGTTTAGCGTTTTTCATATGCAGTTCATCAGTGCATCAGCGGGATTTCATAGACTCAAAAAGTCAGCGGCAACACGGCTGTGGTAGTGGCAATGGCATCGAACAAGAAAATACGATTAAAACAAAGTTTCCCACCGAAATATAAAAAAGTAAATATGTGCTTTACAGATTCTCCGTTTATTTTATTCATTTGGCAGCATTTTTAGTCGGTGTGTTTTGTGAGCTTGTTGCATTTTCCCGAATTTTTTCTCTCTTTCTTCCTCTCGCTCTCGCTCTCACTCTCATCCAATTTATCATAATTTATTTATATGAATTTCATGAATTCATGATATAGATGTTGAATTCGACGACGTGAGGTATGCGAATCATTTTCCATTTCCCATTTTATTCCTTCAACAACACACTCTTTCCCTCCAGCTCTCTTTCTCTCTGCTTTCTTGCGTGGCTGGTGTTTGGAATGCATGATATTTGTGGGGCTTTAAAATAGTTGCAGACACGTATTTAACCACTTAATATATTGCGTGCATTTTGATGGATGACGAGATTGAGTGGATTTTTCTTCACCGCCAGTTTATCTCTTTCTTTCGCACAAAAATAGTGAACGAATTATTTCTTTCGTTTTTTTTTTAAATTTTATTTCGTCCAAATTAGAACCCGTGTGGAAAATTTTCGTCGATTAATTTGGGACATTTTGACCGACTAAATGTGATTGTCTCGAACAAAATAAGCAACTGCAGTTAACTTTAATCACAAATCACTCTTAGTCAAAATGTCCCAAATTAGTCGACTGACTGAAAGAATAACTAAACATGATTGTCTCCATACAAAACGCATGATTTCAATCAACTTAGCCAGTTTTAATTGTGTATCACTACATACAGTTACATACAACTGGGTGACTGTTAGTCATTTTATTTGCACACGGGAATGCCAACATTTACAAAATGCTCTTCACCTTGCGTTCATGCGATTCCACTTTTGGTTTGGAAAGAAAAAAAGGATGCGAAAAAACGGGTTTATTTACTAAAGACAAGGCGCAAAATAGATTTGCTTTTGAGTTGGGAAAGAGAATAGTAGAAAAAATCTTTGCTTTTTGGATGAACAAATTATTTAATTGGATTTTTTCATATTTCTCAAGTGCGTCTCGGATCGAAGTACTTGAGCCACGAACGAGGAATTAAACCAAAAATAAACAAATTCCATCCTTGACGCGAGTATTTTCAGAAGAAAGAAAGGAAAAAAATCAACCTTGTGTGTCCTTTAACAACAAAAAAGGGAAGAAAAACACTGTACTGAAAAATTTACCAGGCAATCATTAAAAAAAAACTCTTCCCTTTGCGATATATTTTGTTATCTTCAAAAGTGTTTGTGTTCAAAATTAACAAATGCGTCGATGGGAAAAACAGCTTTACAGCTCTCTTATTCACTCAGGCTTTGCCATTGCGCTGCTGCAGCAGACGTCGAGCGATGAGAGACTGAAAAAAGTGTTATTTTTGCTAGACAGAAAGAAATTAAAACACTCTGCGAGTGAACAAAAGAGAGCATTTTTCCAATGATTCTAAGCGCTGCCGACGTTAAAGCACCCATTGCCAGTGTATTATACGATGTTTAATGGCGTACTGATGTGGGAATATTACTTTTTGAAAAGGAAAAAAAAGAAAAGAGTCAGTTTTTTTTCACGTTCTTTGTTTCGATTCATCACATTTTATACTTTTCATAAAAGCTTTCTTTCATACACACCGAATATGCCGCCCCTTTTTTTCTCATGCCCAAAATAAAAACGATGAAGATAATTATATAAGTGAATTTATTTGATTTTTTTCTTCGCTCTTTGACTCAAAGTAAATAGCTTCACTCACTGCATGTACAATTGTAGCAAATTCAAGCATTTTATTTTCGTTAAGTTCGCTTATTTTAAACAATATGCGCCTACTTTGAACAAATGAAAAAAAAAACGCTCGAATAATTTAATCATTTAGACAATAACGCACACTTGGCTACGCAAGCGAAATGCAAGTTGCTGTTTGATATATTGCTTTAATTAAACGAGTTGCACATTCCGGAAAATGGTTTGCGATTCCGATGAATCTTTGATGTCGATGTGTATCACAACATACATTGCAAATATTCTGTATCGTTTCTATGATTTCGACAAGGTAAAAAAAGAACATTTCAAACTTTCCTGGTATCAAATTTATTTTTAGCTTGAAATATGTGCCAGAGTGTAACAGTGTCATTCCCTGTGCGTACGGAGACATATTTTCATTTTCATGCAAAGAGAAATAAAACCAATTCGACAGAAAATTAATATATTTCAATTTCACCATCGATTTTTCCGCTAAATGAAACACGTTCGCTTACTCTTTCTGTAAATGGTTCGATTTCAGTAAAATGTGTACTCGTTCCAATTTTCAGCTCTGAAACGGTACGATTCCGTTGGGAAAAGCGCGATGGGAACGAAATGTTGTTGTATGGCAAAACGAAGTAGTGAAAAGAGATTGGATCTGTGGTAATTATTGATGTGATCGATGATGCTTGATGCGTCACATTGAGACTAAAACAACTGAATCAGCATTTATGTATACATCCACGATATTTTACACGCACAGCTTAGGTACTTAACTAAAATCACTAGTTATTATCTGCTGTTAGCAAAAAAGGAACGATAAAAAAGCAGAATGGTAGGGTAGAATCCCATTCATATTTGCGCAAAATGTTTGTGTTTTTATTTTTGTATGCAATTTTTCGTTGTTGTCTTTGTTGTTGTTGATCATTTTTGTCACGTTTGGATTTAAATTTCCAGCATCAAGTGTACGGTGTGTTGGGAAAAGTCTCAACGGATTGAACCTCTATGCAATTACTATCATTATGATTATTGTTTTGGATGACACATATGATATTGTGGAAGCGATGACAGTGGATATCGTTATGTGCATCACTCCTCAGCTCCAACACTTTGCAACGCATTTAGTGAGAATTGGAAAAGTAGACGGAATTTTCGGAGAATGCATACAGTCGTCGAGACGAGAGTAACAGACGAAGTGCAACACAAAATGCAAAAAAAAGAGAGAGAAAAAATACTACAAAAAAAGAGAGGATGAATAGATGGAAATAAGTGCACTCACTCGGAAGAACAATAACAGATGCTGTGCTCTTTTTTCCCGGATTTATTTTTCCCTCTTCAGTCAGTTGTTCATTGAAATCGTCGTTTTTGTCGTAATTTCTGTCATGTCTGTCTCTCTTTTGTTTGTTGGATTTCAGCTTGAAATTCTTCACTTCTCTGCCTTTTTTCTCTCTATATTTTTTACACATTTAATGTTGATCTCATCAGGCAGCTCACGTAGTGTGAAACGGCTCACACAAAAATCGCATGAAAACTATGAACGAAGCAAATACCAAAAAACGCCTTCAACAATACTATCAAATCCTCTCTATTTATCGCAAACTAAAACAGACAGAAAAAAAAGTTCCAACGCTTTCATTTTACATTATTGCAATTGCGATTACAAAACTCTTTCGCTTTCACTCTATCAACACCAGACATATATGAACTATACACATTCATTTCACCGTATTCAAAATGGATTCAATTCATTTGTTTACGTGAACACACAAATTTCTTATTCTTCCTCTTTTCGCTCTCGTTTCATTCGTTGCCGCAGCTAGCAGTTTTTTTTTCTTTTTTTCTTATTAAAAGATAATCTGATTAGTTTTCTTCTTATTGTAATTGATACCACTCACTCTTTCATACAGTGACCAGTCAACCAGTCAGTATGGTTTCGTGTGCAGCTCTTATTTTAATCACGACCACCTTCAGCGAACCCGACTACAGAAAATTGAGTGCGTCCGTCTGCGACGAGCAGTGAGTATTTACTGATGGCAACAATGAAAAATCGTGAACAGGTCTACCCGAAGTTTGTGTTGAACCATATCATCCCATTCACAACGACGACGACTATGACGACCGTTGCTCCGCTACTTTGAGCCATGGAGATTTCACATTGCCACACACCCAGTACTAGTTGTTTTTGAAAGGCGAGCTAAGTACGGTTTTGGCTGCACATGGAGTGGATACGATGCATTTTCTGTGTACAAAAAAACAAACAGCAACAAATAAAATATCCTCTCTTGGTATTCTCCCCTTCGTGGGATATTTTTTCCACATTTCCATTCCGTTGCTGGTTGGCATGGTGTTCTAAGGCGTCGGCGCAGTTGGTCGTATCGTTCAAATTTTGCCGGTTTGTCAAAGGTTCTAACCTACAAATAGAGACAGACACACATTGGCATGTTATTGCTCACTGGTCAGATTTTCCGATTGTATGTGTGTGATTTTTTTTTCTCGCGTTAGCATTTTATCCCCCCAAGACAAACTCGAACAAATATGCTGTATGTTTGCGTGAAACTTTCGATATCCATCGAATGATGATAGCGGTAAAAGAGAAGATTGAATCTTTTAACCGAATGGCATTCTCTGCCTCAACAAAGAAACGCATTTTTGCCAATGTCAATTGTGCATAAAATTGAACGACGTGCGTTAACATTGTTTTCAGCTCGATCTTTGTTATGTTTTTCGCTCGTTTATTCCTTTTTTCTTCACCGAATCGAATTGGATTTGTTGTTTATCCTCAACGACTTGACAATTTCCATCCAATCACTCGAATAATTATCGTGTCTTACCGTTGACAGTGGCAACAGAAAAAAAAAATCGACCGAAAAGAGAGTGCGAGAGTTGAATAGTGCCTGCAGTGAGTATCATTTGTGCTGGATTTTTAATCATTTCACGGCGGGTACTCAATAGAGCCACAGGCACCTCGCATCCCCATATATTCGAGCGCGGGACGGATGGTATGTACGTACGTTTACAATCCGTTGTTCGCATTGTTAAAATTCATTCGATATCATGTTCGAACGCTGGTTCAATCGTTACTATATCGAGAACTAAATGACATTATGTCATTACATATAGACAGAAGTACAGCAGCTAGTGTACAAATAGATTGGAATGACTTTGCATGAGTTTGTTGTTCGACAATAAACAGTAAATTCACTCTCTCTCACACACACATCCAAACGCTGATCAGTTTTCGCAGAGCACAGGAGACAACGACGACAAAAAAAATGAAACAAAACAAAACGAGAAGGGAAAGAGACCGAAAAAAGAGCGAACGAGAAAGAAATAGATTAATACTGAATGCTTTCGATGCTATCAATACCGCTGCTGGCACCTAAATGCAAATGGCATAGCCAGAGACTGTGGATTACGTCGATATTCGCTGTCAAGTTAAAAAATATGCTTTTTGTTCGATTTTTTTCTCTCTTTCGAAAATCGGTTTCTTCTCTCTCTCTCGCGAGCACTTGGTCGCTTACTTTTTTTTTCTTCGTTTGCCCAAGCTCATATTCTCATTTTGCATCGAGCACATATTAGTGTCGATGGCTGAAAATGTCCGCACACGACATGAGAGAAAATCGACGAAACAAAAATAAACTACCGGCTGCAACATACACCATACACATTGCAAGCAACTCAACCCTTTGCCAGTGGGATTAAAAATGCCATCAAATAAATTGGTTTCACCATTTCATTTCCATAGATTTTGTCGTTTCGACGACGTTTGCTTTTGGTTGCTTTTCTCGCTCTTTTTTCCCATGCATTCTGCTCTTGCTCCTTCCATGTTCTGTTGTTTACGTTCACTGTCCGCTCTCGTTGTATTCCGTTATTATCCGTATGTTATTTCTCGTTTCTTTCGTTAATCCGTTCGCTTTTCTCGAGGCTCTTTGTTAATGGTTTAGCTTCGATTTTTTTCCTCTGTTTGTGGACTCGTTGACGTTCGACGCATTCATAACCACTAGTTTTTGGGAAACGGTGCATCAGCGAGTGTGCCTTAAAATCTGCCCAACCATCTGTGCGATGCGAGTTTTCACAGCTGTCATTTTGGTCGAATATTCATTTTTTCCTTTCTCTGTCCCATTTGGTTGACTCTTTGTTGAGCAAAAAATTGAATTCGGTGGAACCACCACCACATTGGATGGTGTGAATGAACAACGAGGGGGAGCGCTTAATAAATACCAGATATTTATGAGATCCACGTCACCGGCAACTTTCTGCCATATCCCCAGAAACAATGGTCATCGCACTCACTTATATGCTAAATTTGGCATCAGACTGTTGCCAAGCTCAACGTCACTAGTTATTGAATGATCGATATTCCAACACAAGATATATACAGAGAGAAAAATAGCGGACAAGTGTCGTTGCTACGGAGCGAAGCGCCGCTGCCATCATGTTCTCAATCAGCCAATTACCGATGGATCAATTTTAACCATGCAGCATATTAATTTTTCGTTCTGTCAACACAGTGACAGAATTGAAAGTGACTCTCGAGAAACCAGTCGATTCCCGAAAAAAAGTCAACAAAAAGCCCACCCACTCGCTTGTATCCAACTAACTGAACGCTTTGAAATGTGATGTCATTGCATCATTTGCCAAAGAGTTCTTTGAGAACGAGAAAAAAACGAATTCTAACTGTGGCATGGCGATAGAAAAGGTGAAAAAGTGAGCGTTTTTTGCGGCGATTTAATCGAATTCACTACCCGAATCTTTATTTAGATTTGGTGTAACTTTGTGCTTGTTAATTAGTTTTGTTGTACATTTTCGATGTGAATCTGTGCATCTTCCAGTGCACACTCCACTGCCAGACAGAGTACTTGAGAGCAAGCAGGTACTTGCAGTAAATTGTAAATCGTACACACGTGCAAAACTTCTATTTCTAACTGTATTTAGACGGTGCGACATTGTCGACGGAATAAAAAAGAAGTCAATTTACGCTGAGCAACACCAAATTATGTAAATTTTCTTCCAAACAAATACTCTGCAAAATAAATTTCGGTATCATTAATTTTTCCTGTATTGCAGCACACTTTGGCTGCAAGTTGATGCAGTTGCTTGGGAATATTAATGAGAAAACCGTATTTGAGTGCAAACACGCGGAATTTATGATTTTAGATAAACTTCATTTGCATAAAACTTTGCCATTTTGTCTGCATGTCGCTATTTGCGCACTCTGAACTAAAATGAGATCAATTCTTCCACTTGAATCACTTCAACTGGGAACGAAAGAGTGAGTGTGTGTGTGTATGTGTGTTTGTAATCTCCAAAAACAGCATTATGGTAATATGACAGTTATTGCATCAATCAAAACCAATGTAATGAATACGAAATTGTTTGAAAGTTTAGCACACAAAATAAATCACATTTCGATGAAGCGGATATCACTTTGGCATTCATTGTGATTGAATTGAAATCTACGATTTCAGCGTGCATTTTATGTCTTCTTTGATTACTGTAATGAAATGTGGATGATTCATAACGAACAGCCAGTTCAAAATTATAGAACAGTTCAACTTGGAGATTCCCATCAAGTTCAAAAGTCGTTTATGTGCCTTCTCTTCACCAACAAATCGGAATTCAGAACAAATATGCTGGATTTCGTCGAGTATTTAAATTTCAACCTAGGGGCTTCACGCGATTTTTCAGAACGCAAATAACTCTGAAAAAATAAAAATAATAGTGAATCAAACCTTCAACCGAAAATTTGAACTACTTTTGAAGGTTTTTGGTGGATAACGATGAATATTGGAACAATTTTTGACGATACAATCTGCACAAATTTACTGGTATGCACATCAATCTCAAATATCTATGTATATTTAATAATATTCATTAGACTGTAATGACAAAAAATGTTCCAATATTCACCGTTATCTACCAAAATCAATCAAAAATTACGGTTGAAGGATTGATTCACTATTAATTTTATTTTTCATTCGTATACACGTAAATTTGACATATCTATGTTATATTCAGTAATATTCATTTGTCGTTCACGACGAATATTGTTGAATATACATGGATATTTCGGATTTACATGCATACCATTGAATTTCTAAGTTATTACTTGATGCGTGCAGATATAAAAGATGAAAAAAATGATTTTTCCCCCTAGATTTTAACACACTAGTTTTCACCGTTTGGGCATAATGATAGAGCGTAAGAGAGGCACAGAGAGGGAGAGCAAGTAATAAAATTAAATGAAATGGTATAATTTTGCGAATCGTAGTTTTGTCGGAAGCCTCAAGTAAAATAATAAACAAGAGGCTTCATATTTTCCCGTTGTTCTCTCTCTAATTCTCGCTCGCTCGTCTGTTTAACTTAGATATTATTGCGAACGAGTTGAAATGTAAATCAACGTTGGAGATGCCTTACCGCAATACATTCGAAAGTCAAACTCTTGTAATGTGAGGCCATTTACCGGCATTCGTACACACAGAACACTACAGACAGACAAATCAACACTCCAAGATTATTCAACTCGTTCTCTCTCTCTCTCTCTCTCTCTCTCTCTCGGCTCCTATATTACACCGAAAATTTTCGACAGTTTCTACTTGGAGCATCAGTTGAAACATGCTTTTTTTTCCTGCTGTACGCTCATCTTCGGCCAAACTCAAAACACTTTGCTTAAATAAAACGATATTGTGGTTGTGTATGTGTATGCTTTAAGTGTTTATCCAATTTGTGAATGTTTACAGACAATTTCTTCGAATATCACAACATTTCGTATGCCATTGCTGTCGTCATTTTTGACTTTAATTCTTGCTCACATTTTATGGTTATCTTGAATTCGTTTCGTTGTGTTGATTGCTCTTTAGATTTTATTAGTTTTGAAGTTGGTGTAATTTGAGTGTTGGATAGAGAGTTACTCGAAGCACAAATAATCGTCATATTTTAATGTTTTGCCACTAATGATGAAAAAGTCGATGTTTGAACGCTGCATGCATCTATCTGCTCAGTTTTG